CACTCTCCAGTTCCATCCACGTTGCTACAAAAGGCCATATTTCATTTTTTCTCATTGCCACGTAGTATTCCATTGTGTATATAAACCACAATTTCTTTATCCATTCATCAGTTTGATGGACATTTAGGCTCTTTCCATAATTTGGCTATTGTTGAGAGTGCTGCTATGAACATTGGGGTACAAGTGCAAGGGGCATCCTTTTAAAGGCCATCCTGGTGGTCTGTTATCTCCACCAATGACTACACCTTCTTTTGAATGTAAGTACAATATAGATTCTCAGTGTTGAAAATATAAAAGATCTTGGAGATCTGTCACCAAGGCTTTTCTGTCCCTGCCTCTTCCCTTCCCCCAGACTTATTTCCAAACTCAGCCCTTGATCTTAGCATTCCCCTTGCAGGTCTCTCTTTCCCACCAGTGTCTCAGGCCACAATGCTCTGTTCTTTGTCTAATTCCAAATCCACCAGTTGCTGTGCTGTTTTATTTGTCCTTTTTCATGCTTTCGCTTCTTTGCTCTACATCCTCCTAAATTAATGCAGCCAGTGTCTGTCTCGTTTCCCACCATTGATTGGCACTCTCCTCAGTATTGCATGGTGTTGCTGGATTAGTTTTTCCAAGGCTCATCTTCCTGCCAGTTATCTTCAGTGTCCTTCTTCCCATCAAGAATACCTGATTTAGCTTATTTGCACCAATTTATTTTTGCTGTGGAGTCCCAGAATGTGTCTTTTTTATATTCCATGTAGTAGCCAAGGCAAATCACTTCTTGTTTTCCAAACATGAGCCACTTATCTTTCCATGTGCTTGGATGTTCCCTCTGCCTGGAGGTTTTCCACCCCACTGCATCCATCCATCCTACACTCCAGCAAACCTACACACAGGAGTTTTAAGATCCCACGAGGCTCTTGACCAGAATTCCTTGAGGTTGGGACTTTGTCTTACCCATCTTAAAATGCCGTGTAACACCTAAAACAGTGATTTGCGTACATGAAGCATCTGGTGAATAATTTGTTCAGTTAACTTTGTAATTAACAGGAAATGCTTTTCCCTGTTGCCTTTGTATTCAAAGGACTGAAATATGAGTTTAAGAAATCAGGAATTACATATACTCAGGTTCATATTTTAGGAAGATTACTCAAGCAGCATATGAACGTATTGGAGGAGAAGGAAAATGGAGGCACAGGGATGAGTTAGCCGGTCCTTATAGAGTCTGAGGGGAAAGATGAGTCTGAACCAAGGAGGGGTTTCCTGTGTAGTTGATGGGATGGATCTTCCGCCAGAGGCTTCAAAGGACAGAACGTGGAGGAGACAGCTGACGAGTTTAATTCGGGTCGTTTGAAGCACCCACGAAATATCTGCCTGCTTAAAAGGCAATTATAAATGAGTCTTGGGTTCTGAGGAGAGTTCTAGGCTGGGATGTAGTTGTGACCTCTGAGCAGGGAAGGGGTGAAAGTTACAAGCAGGGATGAGTTTGCCTGAGGCCCATGCACAGAACGAGAAGAGAAAAGCTGCAGTGTTGTGGAGAGGGTATCAGGAGGGACTAGCCAGGAGGATAGGAGGCCTACGTAGAAAGGCAGGAGGTAGGTTAGGGGAAATGGATCATGAGGTCTAGGGTCCCTGTGTGGCCGGCTGCCAGCAAGTTATTAGTGACCTCATCCACGGCAGTTTCCTGGTGGATGTGCTCCAGGCTTGTGCTGGGTCCAGGAGAGGATGTGGGGATGGTGATTGTACATAATCCATTCAGGGAGTTTTCCCCCTCAGATTTTGGAAAGTGTAAGGTGGTGGAGCACTGTCCTAAGGAAGAGGAGAGGGTTTTCAGATCCAGTGTGAAGGTCAAAGGGTTGCCCCGATTGCAAATAGGAAGCTGTTCTGAGGATAAAGGAAAACCAGGTGAGGTGGATAAAGTAGATGAATTTTAGGAAGTGAAAGTCAGGGAATCATGACTGATAGCTTCAGTTTCTATGTTTGATGTTTTGTCCGTTTGATTGCTTTTAAGTAGAGGTTGAGACAAAGGTGGGTAACAAAGGTGGGTAAGTGGGAGGCTTGGGGAGAATGAGGAGTGTTGTCACAGTTGTTCTAGGTTTACAGAAGGTGCTGAGCGGGGAGTGCATAGAGACTTCCCCTGGAGACCAGGAGCAAGAGTGGCAGGACACTGCCCCGATGGGTAGTGTTCTTCAGCAGTGCTCAGTACTTTACCAGAAAGGATTAGAGAAGGCAGGTGGTTGAGTCAGTCTTCATTTGAAAGTTTACAAGGCAGACATAGTGGGTGGCAAAGGGGTAGCTGAAGGAGAATGTCTTGTTTTAATGACTAAGGAATAGTGTCAAGCCGTGAGGTGGCGGCAGTGGACGTGGAGAAAGGGGTATTGAGAGGCAGAAAATCAAGGAATGTTCTGGCATGGAGTAACAGGCACAGTTGGGTTGGGAGGGTGGGCGAGTCTGGTAAACTTACGGACCTGTGCTTCCATCTCCAGGAAAGGGAACAAGTCAGGCGAGGGTAGGGTCCCTGGTCAGGTCTGCGGAAGTGAAGGTGGGAGCGGGGCACAGGTGGTGACATGGTCTGAACTCTTGGAGGCTAGGATGCAGGAGGCTCTGTGCACCTGTCCCTGAACTTTGTTGTGGAGAGGAAGCCAGTCTTCAGGGACTGTTGGGAGAGTGGGTAGGAATCTGGAGGTGGATGGATGACAGAAATGGAGGGGCTGATGTAAAGGGGTGACTGTGTTTTTGTTCAGCTTGAGATGTGGCACAATTTTGGCTTTTTAAAATAAGAGGTACATTGTTAAAATTGTATGTGTTGTGCTTTTTTAATTGGAAAATTTTGTTGATATTTTAATTATTTTCATAGTTTTTAAAAAAAAAATTCTCTTTTTTTTTTCTCCCCTATAGGTCCTATTTTGCCGTCTTACAGAGGAGCAACTTAAAGTCTACCAAAATTTTATTGATTCCAAAGAAGTTTACAGAATTCTTAATGGAGATATGCAGGTCAGCTAAATAATGGAAAGTAGAGAAATGAATTGTGGAGCAGGGAAGCAGGGGAGGAAAGGAAACTAGGACTAGTCAAGGATTCATGGTTACCTCTTAGAAACATTCGGGTGTGCACCGTCACTTAATTCAAAGCCCTTCCAGAAGTAAGAGAACATACAGTTCCATTTAAGCATGCTTCCTTTTGCCTGTATTGCAGCACAGTTACACTTGAGCCCCACGTCTCGTGGTCCAGAAGAGTAGTGCTAGACACAGGGTCTGTAGTGGTGAGTCCTGCAGGGATGTCTGGTCCTTTGCAGAAAGCAGGGAAGTGGCCCTGGACTGCTGGGGTTAGCAGGTGCATGAAGGAAGAATTAGGATTATAAATGTTTGTGTGAGTGATAACATTTTAGTTACTGGCAGTACTCAGCAGTAGATGGGGGTAAAGGTTTATTCAATAAGCATAGTGGCTTTATAATCAGCATTTAGTTTGAAGCTCCATATAAACTGTTCAATTTCATTGTGCTTCAGTGTCCTAAAGTGTGAATTGTGTTTTGTTTATTTGACACATAAAACTTCCTTAGTCTTTGGTCTGTCCTCATGGGAGGTACAGCTGAGTGGCAAGCACCTTACTCTCCGAAACACACTTCCCTGCTTATACACAGAGGTTGACAAAGAGATGAGAATGGGTGACGGGCTGCCCGTGTCCTGTACTGTCTGCGTGCTGTTTCTTCCAGATGAAGTCATTTCAGTTCTTTCAGCCATGGCGCAGTTTCTTACTTCATCTGTCTTTGGCATCTATGGGAGGTTCTTCAATCATTCACATTTATTCATCTCTCCAAAATCGTCCCTTAACTTAGCTTCGTGTGCCTCTGAATTGGGAAGCCGTAGGTGGTCTAGATTAGCACCAACCCGTAGATACACAATGCCAGCTGCATATGGGATTTTAAATTGTCCTAGTCACATTAAAAAAGGTAAAAGGAAGTGAAATCAATTTTGATAATGAATTTTATTTAACCTGATGTATGTATCTAAAATGTCATTTTAATACATAATCAAACATTTTAAATTATTAATGAAATATTCTACCTTTTTTAAAACTACATCTTTAAAATTGGATATTTTACATTTGCAGCACATCTCAGTTTGGACTACTATGCTTTATTATTTTTTTAATTAATTTATTTTTGAGAGAGAGAGTGCGAATCAGGAAGGGGCCGAAAGAGAGAGAGGATCCCAAGCAGGCTCTGCACTGCCAGCACAGAGCCCGATGTGGGACTTGAACCCATGAAACCGCAAGATCATGACCTGAGCTGAAACCAAGAGTTGAATGCTCAACCCACTGAGCCACCCAGGTGCCCCTGGACTAGCCACACTGTGTGTGCATAGTAGCCCTCTGTGGCTTGTGACCACTGTATTGGAAGCACAGATCTAGAGGCAGACGGGGAGTTACAGATGACTCTTAGGAGGAATTTTGACAATGTTCCTGATTTGTTCAGATTTTTCTATTGTTTATTTTGTTTAACTGTTGTTTGCTAGTTAAAACTACCATTGTTGACTTCACTTATGGTTCATCTTTTTCTACTTGAGCTTTTATACTCCTGAGCTTGATTTGAGTCATACTCAGAAAGCTGTGAAGGATGCCCTTCTGCTGGGAGCCTGGAGGGCAGGCACTCCTGGTCTCTTCTTACGCCCTTCTGCTGAATGAACCACCCTCATGTCTTTCCCATTTGCATATTTTCCAGGCAGACACGTTTTCTGATATTCTAATATAAAAGTAAATGGAACTTGGGGCGCCTGGGTGGCTCAGTCGGTTAAGCGTCTAAACTTTGGCTCAGGTCACGAGCTCATGGTTCGTGGGTTTGAGCCCTGTGTCGGGCTCTGTGCTGACAGTTCAGAGCCTGGACCCCGCTTCAGATTCTGTGTTTCCTTCTCTCTCTGCCCCTCCCCTGTTCGTACTCTGTGTCTCTCTCTCTCTCAAAACTAAATAAACATTAAAAAAAAAAAAAGTTAAAAGTAAATGGAACTTCAACCTCTGACTCATATTCAACTGCAGAACTTTCAGTGAGGTGTACTTAGTAATATTTAAATGCTTTTGTTCAGTCACCTGCCCGATTTCTCCAAATTTAGATGGGCATTTTTTTATTCACATAAAAGATGAGTCAGTTTTTATATGCTGTGAACTGCATACCTTTTTTTCTAGTGAGAGAAAATAAATCATCAGTAAATTAAATATGACCAGTAGATGTTCAGTCCAATAGGATGTTTTTGTTTCTAGAGAACTTACTTACCTTAGCAAGACAGAAGATGAATGAAGGTTGATTTCTTCCAGCTCCTAATATGCTGTGGATGTGGAGGAAGCTAAGAAGCTGGTGAAGAATTCCTTTTTAATCTGTGTTGCATACTGAATATCATCCTTCCCTCCCTTTCCAAGCGAATGTTATTTAAGTGGGATAATTCAAATGCACGTAATTCTTTTATACCATAGATTTTCTCTGGACTTGTAGCCCTAAGAAAAATCTGCAACCACCCTGATCTCTTTTCTGGAGGCCCCAAGAATCTCAGAGGTATTCCAGATGAGGAACTAGAAGAAGATCAGTTTGGATACTGGAAACGTTCTGGGAAAATGATAGTAGTTGAGTCCTTGTTGAAAATATGGCACAAACAAGGTCAACGAGTATTGCTATTTTCGCAGTCAAGACAAGTGAGTATACAGACCTCATACAAGAAACAACAATTCTTTAAGACTTAACAACCAGTAATTTTAAAAATGAGATGTGGGCGCCTGGGTGGCGCAGTCGGTTAAGCGTCCGACTTCAGCCAGGAGTCAAATCTCGCTGATCCATGAGATTCGGAGCCTTTGTCCGGGCTCTGGGCTGTGGCTCAGAGCCTGGAGCCTGTATTTCCATTCTATCTCCCCTCTCTCTGCCCCTCCCCCGTTCATGCTCTGTCTCTCTCTGTCCCAAAAATAAATAAACGTTAAAAAAAAAAAAAATGAGATGTAATTTAAAATAATGATTTTAAAAGCAAATTCACCCCCTGATACTAAGGTGGAAAGCCTACAGATCTCTTTGGGAGCTTGGATCTTTCTCTAGAGTTGGTGCCTAGAAGTTAGCTTTTTAACATTTTTTTTTTTTTTCCAACGTTTTATTTATTTTTGGGACAGAGAGAGACAGAGCATGAACGGGGGAGGGGCAGAGAGAGAGGGAGACACAGAATGGGAAACAGGCTCCAGGCTCTGAGCCATCAGCCCAGAGCCCGACGCGGGGCTCGAACTCACGGACCGCGAGATCGTGACCTGGCTGAAGTCGGACGCTTAACCGACTACGCCACCCAGGCGCCCCGAAGTTAGCTTTTTAAAAAGGTTTACCAAAGGGGCACCTGGGTGGCTCAGTCAATTGAGTGTCTGACTTTGGCTCAGGTCACGATCTCGCGATCCGTGAGTTCAAGCCCCACGTCGGGCTCTGTGCTGACAGCTCCGAGCCTGGAGCCTGCTTCAGATTCTGTCTCCCCCTCTCTCTCTGCCCCTCCCCCACTCATGCTCTGTCTCTCTCTGTCAAAAATAAACATTAAAAAATTAAAAAAAAAAAAGTTTACCATGTGATTCTAGGGTGTGAGTAGGTTTGGGTCTGAACTCAAATAGATGTCCTGCTCTTTACAAAACTGAGAAGAATTAATAGTAGAGAAATGCCAAAAATACTCTTGTAGTAAGTATTATATTTATCTGCCTCAGAGCAAGAAGCCCCTTTTAATTTAAGCCTGTTGGGGAAGGTTTGACTGTTTAGAGAAATGTGAGAGTACTCACTGCAAGTGTATTTTTGATTTTTAAACTCTTTTCCCCTCCCCCCTCTCCCAAACAGATGTTGGACATACTTGAAGTATTCCTTAGAGCCCAAAAGTATTCTTACCTCAAGATGGATGGTACCACTGCAATAGCTTCAAGACAACCACTGATTACAAGATACAACGAGGTAACCAGTGTATATAACAGTACAACCAAGTAGTGCTACTCCGTGCAGAGGAAGGAAGGAGAATAGCTTCACTCACCTGAGCCATGCGTACATGGGGAATAGGCAGTGGGTAGGGAGAGACTTACTGCTTTAAACTCTGTGCATTTCTGTATTTTGTGTATGTTTGTGTGTCTAAACAAAGAATGTGTATTCCTTCTTGAAAAGCCAACTCTGAGATATTTCTAATATAATTGATACTAAAAGTAGGAGTTGTGGGATGAGATCTTGACTGACCCACAGTCTCCAGGACATAACCCATTTTTTGTATTGGGAAGAGGTTTCCATGTGTAGAGTATGTAAAGACAGAGGTGAAGAGCTGTAACTAGTCTTAAATGAGCATGCTAAATGTTGCACATCTTACCTCTAGGACACATCTATATTTGTGTTTCTTCTGACCACTCGGGTGGGTGGCATAGGAGTCAACCTGACGGGGGCAAACAGAGTCATCATCTATGATCCCGACTGGAACCCAAGTACAGACACACAGGTAAGGGAGTGTATTAGTGGCATACAGGTGAGTGGCCAGCACTTGGGAGTGTCCTTCGGCGCCCCTGTCAGCTTCTGCATGGAGCTGACATCTTGGTTGTTGCCCAGTCTTCAGCGTGGAGGAAGATACTGTCTGGCCTCACAGACAGGAAGAGTCTCCAGCAGTTTATCTGTAACATTCATCGCTACACCTGGGGTACAGAGAGAGTGTGCAAAGTTACACACATTGTTTTTCAGGTGGAGATGGCTCCGTCTGCCTTTGTCACCTGCCTATTTATCTTCCTTAATAGGCCTTATATATATTTTAGCATCAGTAGCCAAAATTTTAGCTTTGGCAGGGGAAGGAAGCGACCGGCTGTCTCTCTTTTCTTTCGGTAAGTGCTTGTCATTGGGAAGGGTGCTTGTTACCATGCATCTCTCTGCCGCAGGCCCGGGAGCGAGCCTGGAGGATCGGCCAGAAGAAGCAAGTGACGGTGTATAGGCTGCTGACTGCAGGCACCATCGAAGAAAAGATTTACCACCGGTCAGTACAGATGGCTGCTCGCTCCTTGACTGGAGACTGCTCTCCCCGCTGCCGCGTGTGCAGGATGTAGATCTAGAAGTATGCCTCCAGGGCTTGGAGCTGGGAATTTTTTTCATGCATTGCTTTAAGAGTCTTTTCATCTTAGAGCACTAGTTGCTGTAACTTAAAGGATATGTGGGGGTTTTGGGGGGTTTTTTTGGTTGTTTTGGTTTTGTATTTTTTCTTATTAAAGTAAGCTCAGATGGCTTATTTTGAGTTTTTAGAAAACGTCTTTGGGGTGCCTGGCTGGCTGTCAGTAGAGCATGTGACTCTTGATCTCGGGTTCATGGGTTCAAGCCCCACATTGGGGATGGAGTTTACTTAATATTAAAAAAAAAAAAAGTCTTTGAACCTGAATGTCTTCGTACCTTATTAAATATCAAGGACTGCTTATGTGTAAACTTCATGTTAACTGTTATTTAAGAGAAACGTACCTATCTACTATAGTGTACCATCTTTTTTTCAAAAATTTTAAGAAGTGACAGAGTTGAAATACATACTGAAATTTTCACATAACATGCAGGTGTGATCAGCGTGGGGTAGCCTGGTTCAGATGCCCCTGCGAGACAAGTTGACCAGGATACCTGTTTCTTTTTCCATCTCTCTCTACAATGAGTAGGGGTTTGGGCAGAGGTCGCTTTAACAGTGGGGTGGAGATACTGCCACCTTCTCCCCCCTCCTCTGCTGAAGACTTTATTCTCAAACTGCACCCTAGCTCTTAAAGCAAGGCTCCCTGCTTTCTACCCTGCACTGGGTTACTGCCAGATAGGTATGTGTTCTTCAAGTCCTTATTTTTTTTTTATTTTTATTTTTTTGTAATTTTTTTAATGTTTATTTTTGAGAGAGAGAGAGACAGAGTGTGACTGGGGGATAGGCAGAGAGAGAGGGAGACACAGAATCTGAAGCAGGCTCCAGGCTCCGAGCTGTCAGCACAGAGCCCAACGCGGGGCTCGAACTCATGAACCGTGAGATCATGACCTGAACTGAAGTTGGACACTTAACTGACTGAGCTACCTAGGCGCCCCCTCAAGTCCTTATTCTGAGAGGGCTGGAGATGAGCTGAGTCCCGTGAGGGAGAGCTTCCTTTTAGAGAGACATGTTGTAGCCTGGGTGATAGAAGCAGGACTGCTTTGTGGGGACGTCTGGGCAGGGGTGATGATGGTGTGGAGCTTCAGCATAGAGTGAATCAGCAGGCAGAAGTGGGTGAGATGGCTTCAAGTACAAAGCTCAGTTAAGAGAGTTTCCTGAATGCCATCATGGAAGGGTCCTGAAGAGGGCAGGGCAGGGGACCTGCCAGGAAGCTGACTCCTTCCAGCTCAGAGAGGCTGTGAATCACATGATTACATGTAGAAAAGTGTTGTCTGACATGTGATGAATCTTGGAGGTTGAAAAAGCTCACTGGGTATAAATAATACGACATTCTTTGTATTTCAGATTCTATAAAACATGGGAGACCATCCAATGTTTTATGTACTTTCTGAATTGTAATTTTCCAAAGCAAGAAGTTTGGGTATTATTTAGACATTTGTTCAGCGGCAGTTATCATATCAGTCATAGTTTTATAATTAGGATTTTGAGGCACGGCTAAGCATTGTTTTATACGAGTTTAATTTTTATCTTTTTAGACAAATTTTCAAGCAGTTTTTGACAAATAGAGTGCTGAAAGATCCAAAGCAAAGGCGATTTTTCAAGTCCAATGATCTTTATGAGCTGTTCACTCTGACAAGCCCCGATGCATCCCAGAGCACTGAAACAAGTGCTATTTTTGCAGGTATTACATAAAATAACTTAACTTAGAGTAATAAATCGCAGCAGAATTATGTAGTGTAACTTGAGTGTGCTTTTCCCCTTTATAGGAACTGGTTCAGATGTTCAGACTCCCAAACGCCTTTTAAAAAGAAAACTTCTGCCAGCCTTTGGAACAGACCCTGATGTTTCAATATGCAAAAAGTGCCCTGATTCTAATGCATCTGCAAATGATGCCACATCATCTGAAGAGAAGTCTACAACGACAGGAGCTGAAGTAAATGCAGTAACATCTGATCAAGTAACATCTGATCCTTTGAAAGATGCCCCTCGAACGCCTAGAGATCTGACTGGTGGTGATGGGCCTGGAGAAGAGGCGAGTGCAGTGTCTAGACCAGAGGAGTCATCAGTGATTAGTGGACATGGGGAATGTTCAGATTCTCCAGGAATCAGCAAAATGGATGGACTGTCTAGTGAAGAAAGCATCCATGAAAAACAAGGTCTTTCTGACAAAAGAGAAAGCTGCCAGGCTCCAACAGACCCTCTTCGGGAGAATAAGCAAACGGAAAATAATTTTTATAAGCACAAGTCTAAAACAAAACATAGTGCACCAGAAGAAGAGACCCTGGAGCACCATCGCAGGCTGAAGCAAAAGCCTAAGAACTCTAAGCATCGCAGAGATGCCAAGTTTGAAGGAACTCGAATTCCACACCTAGTGAAGAAAAGGCGGTACCAGAAGCAAGACAATGAAAATGAGAATGAGACCAGCCAGCAGAGCAATGACGATTATGTCTTGGAAAAGCTTTTCAAAAAGTCAGGTAATCTTTTTGCTGAATGTGCCACAGGTGTGCTAGGAACAGAAGATGGGTAGGCTCTTTGTAGCAGTAGCAGCCTTTACTCACAGGGCCAAATGGGCTCTCAGCTGGAAGTAGTTTTTCTTCTAAAATTCAGATTTGGAATATAGTGACATTTTGAAAATCTTATTCACCTCTCTTTTCTGAAGACCTCAAAGAAATTGAACCTTTGGGGAACAACAGTACTTGACTTACAACCACATACAGGAGGGGTGCAGTGCTTTAAGTAGATTTGTGTGACCTGAACACTAATAGGAAGTTTCTGGACATGCTGTATTTATGTCATTTTCCAGCACAGGAGATTAAAGTAACCGTCATAGGGGAGAGGCAGGGACGTGGCCAGAGGCAGGCACTCTGGAAGTGGGAAAGCTGATCACTAATATCGAGGGAGAACAATCAGGAAAGCAGATTCCACAGTTGCTCAGGACCAGGGAGGACAGGCAGTCCTGCACAGCATAGTCATCCCTGGGAATGTTGTCTTGTTCAGGCCTCTGCAGTCATCGCGTTCACAGTGTGATGGCCCGAGTGACCAGAGATCACCGTTTGTGGGTCTCAATTCGGGAGGGCAGGTTCCTGTATGGCATTTCAGAAGGAAACCCTCTGGGCCTCCTACCTTCTATTTCTTTTCCATTTACTGGTCTGTTTTCCTAGGAAATGATCTCTTTTGTTTAGTTTTCACGTTTATTTGCATAGAGGCATTGAAAATGTTATTGTAATTTTTTAGAAACTTGCTTCTGTTTCAAGACAGTTGCTCCCTTGTCATTTCTAATTTTGTAGATTTCTGCCACACTTTTTTTTCGGTCAGGTGTGACTCTTGATTTTGGCTCAGGTCATGATCTCACAATTGTGAGATCAAGCCCTGAGTCGGGCTCCGTGCTGGGCATAGAGCCTGCTTAAGATTCTCTCTCTCCCTGTCCCTCTGCCCCTCCCCACCTCGTCTGTGCATGTAGGGGACAAGCCCAAGGGTACTCTCTCTCTAACTCAAAAAGAGAAAAATGCTTTTTTAAAATAAAAAAAGAAATTAATTCATTTTTATTCTTTCATTTTTATTGATACATAAATATTTAAGGCTATGAATTTACCACTGATAACTTCATTAAATTCTGCTGATAAGTGGCATTTTCATGATCATTAGTTTTTAGAAACTCTATAATTCTGGCTTATATTTTTACATTTTTGCCTTCAGTAAAGAATTAATAGATGGTTTTAAAAATTTCCAGGTAGCAGATATGTTGAGGGTTGTTAGTAATCCCCACATACCTTGTAGGGTGGTGATGAAGGTGACTAGCAACAGCATTTATAAAGTTCCTGGGTTGTGATAGTCAACTTGGCAAATGGCAGCTAAAAATGTTCATTGTTTTTCCTCCACCCACAACAAGACTAGCTAATATAGAAGAAAACATATTGTGTACAAACCGGAATAACACATTACTGTTTCCTTTGTTCTTGCTAGTTGGTGTGCACAGTGTCATGAAACACGATGCCATCATAGATGGGGCCAATCCAGATTATGTGCTGGTGGAGGCAGAGGCCAACCGAGTGGCCCAGGACGCCCTGAAAGCGCTGAGGCTCTCTCGTCAACGGTGTCTGGGAGCAGTGTCCGGTGTTCCCACCTGGACAGGCCATCGGGGGGTTTCTGGTGCACCAGCAGGAATAAAGTAAGAGATTGCTGCTCTCCCATGCATGTGAGGTGGCCAAACCGCCTAGGCCAGGAATAAAGCCAGGGCAGGTGTGGTAGAAAGTCTTGCAGGGAGGGGTTGGGTCAACCGGATTTGCATGACTTGGGGAAAAACATTTATAGTCTTACGTTCTTCCTCACACTGTCTCCTGTCTTCCAAAGCTGAGTTTTCAGGGAAGGCGGCACGATCTGTTTTGCTCAAGAGATGTTGTTAAAAATAAGAGATACAGAATAATAACTAAACTTAAGATGATTAGCCAGTGTTCAGCAATCAGTAACTACTATGCTATTTGGTTCATTTGTTCAGAATAATCTTTCTACCTGGAATTTGTGGGTAGTTGCCATCACTTGTTGAACAAGATACTGAGTGGTTCTTACTTGAGATGCAGCTGTGACTTCCCAGGAGAGCAACGTAGAAAGACTGAAGGGGATGAGCCTCATGGTTATGAAAGAGTAACCATGAAGAAGAAAATTTTCCAGCAAAAGATTAAGTTTTGAAAGGGCATTTTCATCTCTAAGTCCACAAGAGCAAACATTTCATCTACTGTGGCTCTTTTCCTTATTTAGGAGTAGATTTGGTCAGAAAAGGAATTCCAACTTCTCTCTGCAGCATCCTTCTTCAACATCTTCAAAGGAGAAATGCCAGGTAATATGATAGCCTGTCTGCTTTTCGTGTGTGAGTCTTAATTGATAGAACTGCTGTGAAAATTTAACCTGATTCAGATGTGAAGAAAATCGCTGGCATAATGGCCCCCGGTATCTGTGTTGTATGCTCTGATTAATGAAGCACCTTCATGTGAAACTGAAAGGACCAGCCAACTTTGTAAAAGACAGTCTTTAACCCAAATCTACAGCAGAATCTCTGTTTTGCCCTCAGAAAGTTAACACAGGGATAGAGGATGTGGGAGTTGCTGCCCCTGCAGCCTGCTCCATTCGGTGGTGACGTACCAGTTCTGGAGAGCCCTACCCTCTAACGTGAAGGTTGAGAAAACCGCCTGGGATGTTGTTTGTAATTTACTAGCCACTAGAACCTTGTGCCCATCTCTCCCTGTCCTGTAACCCCCAGATGCCCTGAGTGCTTCACTGAGTAAAGACTGGACCAGACTCTTATCATTCAGTGCTCTCTTTGGTCTTTGCTAGTTAAGGGTTATGTTACTGATAAAAGTTGAAAACTCCCCAAGTTCAGACTCCTGTTTCAAACTTAAAAAAAAAAAAATTTTTTTAATGTTTATTTTTGAGAGAGAGGTACAGCATGAGTGGGGGAGGCACAGAGAGAGAGGGAGACACAGAATCCGAAGCAGGCTCAAGGCTCTGAGCTGTCACCACCAAGCCCGATGCGGGGCTCGAACTCACAAACTGTGAGATCATGACCTGAACTGAAGTTGGGTTGATGCTCAACCAACTGAGCCACCTAGGCATCCCTCAGACTCCTATTTTAGATTAATATGAACACATGTAGAACAGAGAACGTTTCTTTGACTTTCCATGTTCTGTTCTTTTAGCAATAGGGATGTGAAAAAGGTTAGATTTGTGTTGTTGCTCTAGGGAAACTCACATGAAGTGTAAAGTAGGAAAGAGTCAAAAGATTTAAAAGTGAAGAGAAGGAAGTGCAGCTCTACGATTGTTCTTAGCCCACGGTGCCTGGATCAGGGTGGGCTCGCGAGGAAGGGCAGGAAAAGTCTGCACAACCCGCACCTCCTAGAGCCGGCTTTCCCACCCAAGGGAGGCCGCAACCCCACCCCCTGCCCATCCCCCTCCTCTCACCACACAGAAAGGGATGGAGTGAAGAGTGTAGTTTGGGGGAATTGGGTTTTTAAAAAAATGGTATATAATGGCGGGTGGGTTTCAGTGCTTGACATGCCCCCTGCCCCTTTTTGTTCGATGCCATCTCATTCTTTCCTGTCAGCCTCACTACCCTGGGCTCTAGTATTTGCTTATGGCTCCTCAGTGTTTTGGGGGAAGTAGTAGGAGCGTGAATTAGAAGCTGGCATATCACTGCAGTGGTCTTCTTTCTCCAGGACGGCGTCACGAGAAAGGATGGAAAGGATGATGCTTCTGAGCACTTCAGTGGAAAAGTGGAAGATGCAGAATCTTCACCTGGGGCCCTCTCTTCGTCTTCACTGTTGGCTAAAATGAGAGCTAGGAACCACCTGATTCTGCCAGAGCGACTGGAAAGTGACAGTGCGCACCAAGAGGCATCTGCTCCGCCATCTGCCATCACGGAACACGATGATCTGCTGGTGGAAATGAGAAACTTCATTGCTTTTCAGGCCCGTGTTGATGGCCAGGCCAGCACTCGGGAGATCCTGCAGGAGTTCGAGTGCAAGTTATCAGCCTCACAGTCTTGTGTCTTTCGAGAACTATTGAGAAATCTGTGCACTTTTCATAGGACTTCTAGTGGTGAAGGAATTTGGAAACTCAAGCCAGAATACTGCTGACATTACTTTCTAAACTTTCGATTGACTTTTCCTAATGGAAATTTCTGGTTATTAATCCTATAACTAATAATCATGTTTGTCAACAGAAGTTGGCTGCATTTGATGTTTACTTTGAATGATATCTACCTCATAATTTAAAATTTCAAGGAAGAAGACATTCATCTCCAAAACTTAAAAGTTTTAAAAATACTTGGGTTGATGTTTTCATTTTGGCACTATGAATTATGTTATAAAATCAGGGACCTGATAGTTAATCTTTGGATCGCATTTGTTCCTCTACCCAAAAGATGCTGTCGGGGAGCACATTACTGCTCGTTTAGATGTTTGTAGACCAGAAATCTCAAGAATTCTTTTATTGGTGCTAAAAACATGTCTTATATTCATTCAGACCTGTTCAATAAATTAGTTCATCAATATCTGGTAACAGATACTTATTTTGGAGGCATAGGTTTTAAACATTTAAACTTATTTGTTACCCATAAAAAATGAGATTTGGTGTCTTATGAATATATCTGTCTCATAGTCTTCCTTTTAAGATACTGTTAAATCAGCAGGCATTTTCATTAGTAAAGCATGAAATAGCTTGGTAATAAATAAGACCTATACTTGCAAAAGGTTGTAGTGTTACTAAGCTTATGTTGGCTTTACTTTAAGCCAAGTGCATCTTCTTCCCCCCTACGGGGACTGTCTTTTAGGAATATAAAATGTGTTATCTTAAAAAAATACACAAAACTTTAAGCAGAACCACAAATAAGTACAAATGAAACCACCAACATACACGTGCACACAAATGTCACTCCAGACCACAGTCGATATACCATGATTACTGTGTAGTGACCACCCTGGCGGCCTGCTCCCTCTGTTCACATGCCGAGCGGTAACTTGGAGCATTTTTTATTTTATTTGTTGTTTGCTTTCTGAGGATGCTGATTACTTTGTGTTAGGCACCATCGTTCCCCTTGTGTGTTATCTTCTGTCCAGCGGTTTTCATCTGTCTTTGTGCTTTGCATTTGCTGTGACTCTCCTGCTCCAGAGGTTTGCTTTGTAGCTGTTTCCTGGCTGTTGTGATGGTGTTGTTCTGATCCTCTGTTTTCTTAGCCTTGATTTTCTCGTTTCCTGCCCTTTGTTTTATCATCTCAGCTCTGAAATCTTGTTTTAAGTTCGTTGTATTGCTTGCATTTCTTCTAGAGCGGTCACAGTGCAGTTTGTTTCTTGGATTTGTTTTCTCTGGCCTGCTATATTTCCTGTCTGCTTTTTCTGTATCATGCTTGCCTTCCTCCTATGCCATTTCTTTACATCTTGCTTCTGCTGCAAGAGAGCCACTCTGCCCATATCTGTATGTTCTTCCCTGTGACGCAGAGGGAAGGGAAAGGACTTGGGTTGGGGGTCCGGGAGAGCCTCTGCTGGGCACCACACAGCCCTGGTTGGAGGATTTGCATTTTACCTCTCTGGTCTGAGGTTCTGTTTGATAGCCTGGGCCCAGGCATCCCTACCCGTAGGCAGGAGATGGCAGAGAGTCATTCCCGCTAGGATTTTCTGCTTTTTTTAAAAAAAATTCTGTCTTATTCATCTTACTCTGTTTTTAGAGTGATTTATATGTTAGAGGAAGAAGATGCTATTATTTTCTTTAGTCTGCTGTCTTTATCCAGAAGTCATAGATGGGATTTTTAAACAGCTCAATAAATCCTGAACTTGAGAATTTGGCTCAGAAGGGAGTTAAAACTCCCTGGGAAGTTCTGGGAAGAACTGGGAAGTTCTTTTTTTTTAATTTAATTTTGTAATAATCAGCCTATAAGAAAACTACTTCCCCCTTGTTCTTTGATTGAATTTAGTTCATTCTATCTTTCTTGTCTGAGATCTGAACTCTGCTGAGCAAGAGAAGTTGCACCCTTCTTGTCAAGTAGAAAATGCTATCAAAAGGGATGATGCAGTCAAAGCAGGGTGGTCCTCACTCCAGTTCTTGTCTCAGCACTACCACTGGCATGCTGGGACCTCAGGCAGGTCGCTGCTCTGCCTGTGTCTCAGTGTGACATCTATGAACACTGTCACCATGCCTCCCAGGTGGACAGGCTTAGAGGACGATGCTCTAAATGTCATGATTTTAATAATAGTAACTTATTCATTTAGATAAAATCTACTTTTTGCAACTTTAAAGGCTTTGTACAATGTAGATAGATTTAATGTATTTAACATGTTATATTGGTATCAAGCTATAAAATTTTCTGAAATTTTAAAACTTCCTTAATTTATACATGAATATACTATCACTGTGTAAAAAATTTCAGGCAATACTTTGTCTCCTCACTGTTCTTGCTTCTGTCCCAGAGATAAGTACTGTATGTCGTGTGTATTCTTCCAGGCTGTGTCCCAGGCATTTATAAATACCCATGGCAGAGACTGCTGCTCTCATGTGCATTTTCCCCTTTTCCTTTACTGACAAGATTTCCTGAGTTTTACCTGGGTATGTGACTACTCAGCTGCAGACTTGACTTCCCGGCCTCCCTTATAGTTAAGTGTGGCCCTGTGACTAGGCAATGGGATATGAGCAGAACTTCCAGATCGGGTCCTTAAATAAGGGACTGGTGTACACTCTTCTTGCCGAGATGTCCGGGGGACCTTAAGCAGTGACATGGGATCGACATAGGTCGTGTGTTGAGGCTGGAAAAGCTGGCCTGCCAGCCTTGAACTGCTTTCTTTTTACCTGTTCCTTAAGAATAAAATAAATTCCTGATTTAACCACTGCCTTTTACAGTCTGTTTATTACAGCCTCCAGTTTTGTTTTTGGATATGTGATCTATGTAGATTATGTCATCCTTTTTGCAGCTAGCTTTTCATTGGACATTATATGCAAGATATCTTTTCATCCCTACAATTATGGCTTTACCTTCATGGAACTGCTGGTTTAAAACTTAGATTTTTTTCAGGGTGCCTGGGTGGCTCAGTCAGTCGGGTGATCCCAAGGTCGTGGGATTGAGTTCCGGATTGGGTTCTGCACTGAGCCTGGAGCCTGCTTAAGATTCGGGGTGCCTGGGTGGCTCAGTCAGTTAGGCATCTGACTTCGGCCTAGGTCATGATCTCGCAGTTCGTGAGTTCAAGCCCCGCATCGGGCTCTGTGCTGACAGCTCAGAGCCTGGAGCTTGCTTCAGATTCTGTGTCTTCCTCTCTCTCTGCCCCTCCCCTGCTTGTACTCTATCTCCGAAAAATAAATAATTATTAAAAAAAAAAAAAGATTCTCACTCTCTACCTCTGCCCCTCTCCCTGACCTACACTCTCTCTCAAAATTTTTTTAAAAATTACATAGATTTTAATTTTAATGGATATAGTGAAACTGCTTCCTTCCGTTTATACTCCATCCATGAAAGGACCCCATTCTCCACACCCTTGCCAACAGTAGGTAGCATCAATCTTGGGAGGTTTGTTTTGTTTTTAACAAGTCTTGTGTTTGAAAATACTTGTTTGAGCTTGAATTTCCCTGAAAACCAAAGATTTCCATGTTTTTTGGCCATTTGTAGATTCTCTTGAGTGTTGCTTGTTCATATCATGTTTGTCTAGTTTTACAATTGGTTATTAATCTTTCAGGGTCCCTCCCCCCAAAGAAAAATGAAGAGGCAATTGCCCCAACTATTATTGAACTTTTTCATTCTTCGTTCTTTTCTCTGTTCATTCTTTTCTCCACCGATTTGAAATGCCAGGTTTATCATATGCTAAATTGTCTTTTCAAGGAGAATGGATCTAGATGTCTATTCTACCAACCACACTCTTCACTGTCATTTGATTTTGTACTATGTTTTGCTTTCTATAGGCAAGTTCCTAGTCCTCCCTGCCTCTGCCCCCATTGCCATCTTGTATATTTCCTGTTCCAGGTGAGTCTTAGAATCAGTTTATAATGTCACTAAGATTGTATTGTTCTTTTGATTGGGATTGCATTAGTTTATTGACTTGAGGATAATAGACTTCTTCAAATTAATACAAATTTTCCCATTAGGATCATGATAAGTCTCATTTTGTTAATTAAAGTTTTTTATATTCTTGGATAAATTTTTAATAACTTTCTTCATAAAGATCTTGCCACTTTTCATATTAGGCTTATTCCTAGGTATTATATAGATTTTTAGTTTTCGTTGGAGATCATTCTTACATAAAAATTTGGAGAATCAGAACATTCATGTATCTACTTTCCTTATGATACCATTTATCATACAGAAGTTTTAAATTTAAGTGTAGTCAAATTCAGTCTTTACATATTTTTCCTTATTTGAGGATCCCTTTCCTAACCTGATGTCATTATTACATTCTCATAAATTGTCTTGTAAATTCCATATGGATAGTTATTTTTCTAGCACGTTTAAAAAAAATAGCTCATCCTTTCCTGATGTGTCAGGCTATCGCTATGATTATATCCAATTTTCATGTAACTATGGGAATATTTCTGGGCTTCTGTTAAATTGGTCCACCTATCTAACTTTGCCAATAACCCACTGTTTTAATCATTGTAGCTTTATAATCGGTTATTGTATATGATAGAATGATTTCCCTCATCTTCCAAAAATGCCTTAGTTCCTAGTTCCATATTTTAAATAGGACATTTTTAATACATATTTATTATGAAGACATAATTCCACCGGGTCTTTCACTTACAATAAGATTATTTATCTTACATTTATTTCTAATTATCCTATAGTTTTGGTTGCTACAGTAAATCACATTAGAAAGACATTTTCTAGTTGATAAGAATACTGTTGATTTTATATATTGGTGTGTATGTAGCAACCCTGCTAAACTATTTTACTAATTAGTCTATAAATTGTCGTGTATGTAACAATCGTGTCAACTGCAAATAATGACAATTGTGTTTCTTTCATTCCAATTCTTACATACTTTAAATACTTCCAATATGATAATCTGATAATGTAGGTGACAACCATTGGCATCTTTGTCTTATTCCTGACATCAAAGACAAACTTCTAAAGTTTTACCATTAAATATGCAATTGCTGTTAT